GCACCCGGCGGCGGCGGCGGCCCTTTTCGGCGGTGCTCGAGAAGGTTGCTCTGCAGCTTGCGCCGACGCGGTGCAGGGCGCCGGCGCAGTCCGGGTGCGGCGCAGGGAAGCGGAAGCAGCCGGGCGACGATGCGGCTGCGTCGAGTCGCGCTGGCCGCGGGGCGGGGCGTGCTGCGCCGGGCAGCGCCGCGCTGCTGCACGTGGTCGGGTGCGCAGTCTCCGTCTCAGAGTTGGTCTTGCTCGGCGCAGGTGCTGTCTCGGCTGCCTCTCGGCTGCCTCTCGGCTGCCTCTCGGCTGCCTCTCGGCTGCCTCTCGGCTGCCTCTCGGCTGCCTCTCGGCTGCCTCTCGGCTGCCTCTCGGCTGCCTCTCGGACCGGTTTCGTCACGGCTGTTCTCGGCTGTATCTCCGAGTTTGTCTCTGCCCGGCGCAGGGGGAGGCCCGCCTACGCCGCAGAGCGACGAGCGGGCGAGCGGGACGAGCGGCGCGCAGCAGCACACGCCAGCAGCAGCACACGCTAGCAGCACACGCTAGCAGCACCACGCCAGCAGCAGCACGCCAGCAGCAGCACGCGAGTGGGATCCCTCCACCCTCTCTCTCAGCCGCGGGGTCTCTCCCTAGGCTCGAGCCGCGCCTCCTCCGCCTCGTCCTCGACGCAGCTCGCCCGCGCCGGGGCCGAGGAGGTGAGAGGGGAGGAGGGAGGGGGCATGAGGAGGAGCGCGAGACTCTCTCGAAGCGCTACGCAAGCTCTGTCGCAGCCTCCACCCTCCCGCCTCGCTCCAACCCGCTGGTCCCCCCCCCTCCCCCCCCCCCGCCCCCAGGCCTTCTTCCTCCTCGAGCTCGGGCCTGGTCGGCGCGAGGCGGCGGCGAGCGGAGGCGCGGCGGGCGGCCGCGTCGTCATCCTCTTTAGCGGCCGTTCGGCGGTCCGGTGGCACGCGCTCCTCTCGCAGGGCCGCGAGTACCGGCTGGCGAGCCTGCAGCCGTGCGTGCTCGACCGGCGCTGGCACGTGCTGCGCTCGACCAGGTTCACCGCCGTCTGGCGCGAGGAGGGCGGGCCGGCGGCGGCGCCACCGCTCGCACCCCTCTCCCGTGCGCCGTCGGCGTGCTGCGGCGAGCAGCAAGTCGATCAGCCGTTGATGAGGGTCGATCGGTGAGTTAGGTGCGCCGTCGATCTGCTGTGCCGAGCTCGCGTCGCAGTCCCGCCACATGGGCCACCCGCTCGGGTGAAAGTGTCCTAGACACCTCCCCCAGACACGACACCTCCTGGACACTTCCGGGCGCTTCCGGGCACTTCCTACACGTAGTAGACGCTTCCTAGAACGAGCCCGGCCGGCGGGGACGGGTCTGAGTCACCGCGGCGTGCCTTCGCCCTGCAGGTCCCAGGCCGCCGCGCTGCCCTCTCCAGCCTCACACGACGGCTCCGGCACCACCCCGCCCTCGCCCTCCCCGGCGGCTGAGCGCGGCCGCGTGCTGCCCGTCACCGCCTCGACGCTGATCGACTACGAGGGCGAGGTGCCGGACCGCCTCACGTCCATGACACGTCCACGTCCATGACACGCCCCGAGACACGTCCGAGACACGTCCCGCAGGTGACGGAGCGCCTTTCTGCGTGCTGCTTTCGCGTGGACGGCGAGTGGACGCTGCTCACGCCGCACGCGCCCCTCCGCCTCACCGCCAGCCTACGGGCCGGCGCAAAGGCGCGGCGCAGTAGACGTCGCACGCAGACGCCGACTGCTCTCTAGATGGCGCCACTCCCTTCACCGCTGCCTCGTGTGCCTCCACCTACACGCCCCCACCTTCTCTGAAGCTCCTCTGAGCCATCCTGCAGGTCCGTCTCGTCGACGTGCACCCGCTGCATGTGCCGCGCGAGCCGGAGGCGGAGCAGGGCAGCGCAGGGCAGAGCAGGGGAGGGCAGAGCAACGGCTTCCGGCTCTTCGGTTTCGGCCTGTGCGGCCGCTCGCGCGTCGAGATTCTGCGGCACGCGCCCTGCGGCGGCGGACGCGAAGGAGGGGGAGGGGGAGAAGGGGCGGCCGACGACCGCGCCGGCGGCGAGGGCGGGTGCGAGATCCGGTGGCTGGCTCGCGATTCGGGCTCACCCGGGCTACTTGCGGCTTGCCTGAGCCTTCTCGGACCCGTCCCACCAGGCGGCTTGGCTTGCGGCTCGGCCTGAGCGAGCTGGCTCGCTTCCACTCGGGTCTGCAAGCCGCGTGGCGGGAGAAGTGGCGCGGCGTCCTCACGCCGCCCGAGCGTGTCGCCGCCCTCGAGGCGCTACTCGGCTCGGCCGGCCTGGGCCCGCTCCGCACCGCCAGCGCCAGCCCGGCCGGCGGCGGCGGAGGCCGCTTCCTGTCGCAGTTTTGCGGTCACCGGGCGGGCGGGTGCCGGCTGTGCGAGGCGCGCGCGCCGCTGCCCTACGCGCCCACTCTGCTCGAGGTGCTGCGCTCGCGGCCCGTGGCGTCGCTGCTGCAGCGCAGCGGGCGGCTCGAGCAGCAGCAGCTCCTCTCCTGCGCGGGTGTGGCGAGCTCGTGGCAGCCCACCCGCTGCGGGCCCCACCGACCGGCAGCAGAGGCCTTGAGGCTCCGCGTGTGTGACGGCGGTTGTAGGCAGCCGCCGCTCGTTCTGGTGGGCGAGGTTGCGCTGGCGGCGCCGCCCGCGCCGCACAATTTCGTCCTGCGCGACTGCACCGCGGAGATCCCGCTCGCGCTCCCGCCGCACCAGATGGCTGCGGGGGCTTTGTTGCTCGGCAACGTCGTCGCGCTCGCATCCTTCGAGCTGTTGGCTTTGCCCCAGCTGCTGCCGCCGGCCGTCGGGCAGGCGTGCGGGCCCGAGTCGGCGAGCGCAGCTCTGTGCGTGCGCTGCCACTCGCTGCAGGCCCAGTGGGGCGCGGGAGGCGGCGGGGCGGTCGAGGCGCTGCTCGAGGGCGGGAGTGCCGTGCTGCTCCACCACTCACACCGGCCGGCAGCCGCGGTGGCGGCGGCCGCCGCCGCGGGCGCAGCGTCGGGCAGCATCGCCTCCGAGGACCCGCTGGCGGCGCCGCTGCTCGTGCGCCCGATCCACATCCCGCTGCGGCGCGCCCCCGCCGCCGAGGCGCTGACGATGGACGCGCTGGTCTGTCTCGAGCCACAGGCGGGCGCAGGCGGCGCCGCTGGCGCAAGCGGCGCCCCTGGCGTGCCCGCGTGGCAGGCGCCTCCGGGAAGCTGGGAGCTGATGACGCTGTTGCTGCCAGGCAGACGCGGCGCGCAGCCGCCGCTGCACGCGAGGGCGCCGCTGCTGCAGCTCGGGGCGGAGTACGCCGTGCGGAACAGCGGGCTGCGCAACGCTGGCCCGTCGCAGCACGGCGCCACGCTCACGCTCTCGTGCGGCGCGCGCATCGAGTACGTCCGCAGCCAATGTTTGCCGCCGAGCGTGAGCCTGCTGCAGCTGCTCACCCTGCCGGAGGAGGAGGCGCGGTGCGCCATCAACGTGCGCTGCGTGCTGCTCAGCCTCTCGGTCCGAGCCGAGGCGCGCAGCTCGTCGGTCCAGTTCGCCCTCTCTTCGCTCGACGGCCGGCAAGCCGTGATGGCCTACTTGTCGGACCTCTCTAAGGTGCGGCTGCCTGCGGGTCTGCTGCCGGGCGCCAGCTTGCTGCTCACGCGGGCGAGGCTGCGCTGGTCCAACGATGGCGCGGGCAAGAGGTACCTCGCCCTCAGCCCGCAGTCGGGCATCCACGTGCGCGCCGCCCAGCCGCGGCTAGAGGGGGAGGAGGTGGCGCTGGCCGGCGCGGGCGGCGGGCGGACGATCGAGCAGCTCTCGCTGCAGGTCAAGGTGCCGCCGTCGGTGCGGCTGCTCGTGGCGGTGGTGCGTCTCGTCTCCTTCTCCTTTCGGTGGCGCTGCTGCGCGTGCGGGCAGGTGCGGGAGGCGGGGCGTTGCGGCTGCTCTGTGGACGCCGTTGCGGGCAGCGAGGCGCGTTTTGAGGCGTGGGGGATGGCCATTGTGGACGATGGCACGGGCAGGGCGGTGCTAGAGCTCAACGGTCTCCTCGTGTGGCCGATGCTGCAGGCTCGCGTGGCCCCAGGCTCGCCCTCGTCCTCCCTCGTCATGCTCCCCCTCCTACCCGCCCTCTGCCGCGGCAGGCGAGCGACTCGATCGTCGACGGCGTCGCTGCCGCCGCGCGCGCCGTGGGCCCCCTCTCGCTGCGCTGCGGCGAGGCCAACCACAAGGAGTGTCTCAGCTTGGGGCGCGGGCAGTGGCAGTGCGCGCCAGGAGCGAGCATCGGGCCCGAGCAGCGACGCGCGCTCGACGCGGCCATGCCCCGGCAGGAGTGCTGGCAGCGCAGATTCGTCACGACGTGCCGGCGCGTGCAGATGGCGTCGACCGAGAGCCGGCGCGAACTGACGAACCGGCAGCGCGTGCGCGTGCGTGGCCAGGACCTCGACCTCGAGATTGTGTACGGGTTCCCAAAGCTGCAGGCCCTCCACCTCGAGGCCGCTTCGCCACGCATGGAGCTCGAGCGGCTTCTGCGGGGCAGCTGACAGTATGGCTGACATAAGACAGTATGGCTGACAGCCATAAGACAGTATAAAGCCGAGCGAAGACCCGGTGTAAAAACGGGTCGATGTGTATATTTCAAGTCTTGTGTACAGTCTCGCTCCCAATACGTGCATCACTTTTGTGACGGTGTCACAACTTTGATCAACCATATGTCAATAACAACGATGACGACGCGCAAAACACATTTTCGGGTGCACAGCCCCCAGAGAGACGATCATGCGAATTGCGCGCAGAATCTCGCGAACACAACACGATCTCTCACGAGTCACGTCCTCACCCCTCGACCGCGCAGCTTTTCCTGCGCCTCCTCGCTCAGTAACGGGTTGCCGTTCAGGCTGATTACCCGGCAGGCGGGCAGCGCACCCTCGCACGCGGCTGTGCCAAGGGCGCGGACGCCGTTGTCGCCGATGTTGTTGTGGTCGAGCGCAAGGTGCTCGAGGCGTTCGAAGGCACCTGTTTTGAGGGTGAATCGTGAGTCATGAGTCGGCCCAGGGCGAAAGAGCCTTGTCGCGGCAAGTGGCGCCGAGTTTTGTTGCCGCGTCAGCGAGAGCTGTCACCCCGGTGCAACCAATCTGGTTGTGCTCGAGGTAGAGCTGCTCGAGGCCGGATGCGGACGCCGACGCCGATGCCAGCGCGCAAAGGCCCGCGTCACCGATGCGGTTGCTGCCCAAGTAGAGCAGGCCGAGGCTGGGCATTGCCCCGCTCGCCATCGCGTTCGCCAAGGCCTTCGCCCCGAAGTCACCAACTCGATTGCTCGAGAGGTTGAGCAACTTTAAGCTCGGTAAGCTGCCAGCCTCGCCGCCGTCTCCACACATGGCGGCCGCCAGGACCTGCACGCCGTCGTCGCCGATCCGGTTCCCCTTGAGCTTGAGATCCTGTGGGGCCAGAGTCTGGATTGGGATGGTGGGGTGTGGGGGCTGGATTTGCGTACAGAGTGAAGGTCCTCCAACGTCGAAAGCGCGCCGCCGAGCGCGGCCTTGGCGAGAGCAGCGACGCCGTCGTCGCCGATGTGATTCTCGAAAAGCCAAAGCTTGCGCAAGTTGCGGCAGAGTGGCAACACCTGGCCGGGAGAGAGGGAAGGGGTGAGGCGCATTGTGCGCGAGGGGCAGGCTGTCACTGAGGGAGGTGCTGAAGCTGCCTCGAGGAGTTGTTCCATCTCGCCATCGCCCCAGCCGCACTGTGCAAACTCCAGCTTCTCCGTGTCGCGCATCAGCGAAAGAATGGTCCGAGTATTGAGCTCGATGACCATGGGCAGGTCTGACTTCTTGGACGTGAATCGTTTGCCAGCGACTAACCGCGCCAGCGCGGCGGGCGTTGTTGGCGCCGGCCGCCTGTACTCCTGCACAGCGCCTTGCTGCGGCACGTCGATGATTGGCGCCCAGCAGTAGTGTGACATTGGCTTGGCGAGCGCCGCCCAGGAAGCCTCACAAGTGGTCCATCCCCTCTCCTCGTACCGTGGCACCTTCTCGTGGCCGGAGGGGAGTGACCTGGCGATGAAGGCCGTCACCAGAGGGTGCGAATACCATATCTGCATGTTGCCTAGGGCCGCGCTAAAGGCAGCCGCCTCTGCGGGAGTGCGCCGTCCGCCGGGCCCCTTTTGAGGCAGCGAGGCGAAGTCAATGAAGAAGGCCGCCTCGCCCGGGAAAGCCTGATCACCCGCCTCTGCTGCCTCGATCGCAGCAGCCAGCGAAACGAGCTGCTCGCCCCTGGGGTCGGGATGCTCAGCGGTGAGCCAGCAGTAGGAGAGCGCACCGAGTGCGAGCTTCTTGGTGATGAAAGAGCCTGTACGATCGGGCGCGGAACGAGCTCGCAGCTCCTCTTCGTCCATGAAGGCATCGGGATCGGTACGCTCGAGGTCCTGTCTCCGCGGCATCGCGAGTGCCTGCCGCTCCTCAGGACTGGCTGCCGCCCTCAGTTGACGCGCACGCTTTTTGATCCAGCTTGAACGAAGGAGTCTAACAGGAGGGGGGCAGTCCGGTGCGAGCGGTCGAAGCGCAGCGTACAGCACATCGGCGCTAGCATAAGTTCCTGGAGCCGGCAGATCGCCTGGTGCATCCACGAGGGCCTTGGCAAACGCCTCTGCTTGCACTGCCACCCGGGCCTGAGCTTTCCACATCAGGTTTTCGCGGCCGTTGGCAGCGTCAACAGCGTCCAATGCTGAGAGCAGAGAGTTGCGTGCCAAGTGAACTGCCCAAGGACGGATGAATTCCTCCGTGGAGAGCACACCATTCCCATCACAATCAAACGATCGGAAGAGCGCTTCCGCCTCGTTCCGCCTCATCGGTCGTGCGTTGCCCGCTTCCCCAGAGCGCGTGAGGATGGCAACAAACTCCTCCAGCGAGATGACGCCGTCGCCGTTGACGTCAAAGGCCGAGAATGCGGCTGCAAGCTCCGCGGCCGCCATTTGTGTGTGTGTGGTGTGTGTGTCCGTTACACATCTTCCGGTTAAAAGTACGTACGCTTACTGCACTCCAAGTGCTTACAGAGTATAAGCTCAAAGTACGTACGTACAGAGCTCGTCAAGGGCGCACATTAAAGCCGTACACAGGTCACGCAGTTGAGCAAAGACCAAAGTTGAGCACACAGCTACGGCTCTAGGGTCCTCAGGCCGGTCAGGGAATCGGAAAGGCCTCTGGTCTGTCTGCTCATGACCTGCCGACACCACCCCGGGTGACCCCCGGGGGGGCGGGACAGGGGGGGCGAATCGGTAACGGGTTAATTCCGTGGAAAACGTACCAGACTGCACTCCACGACCACGTGCTCCAACGGCAACGCATACGAAGGTGGACAGCTATCTGCCGCACGCAACTCAAACATGTACCCGGGTATATGGCGGACAACAGCGCACAGGCCCACATGGTGCATGCGCGTAATGCACTCTCTGTGACTCAATATTGCCCGTACGTCGTCGACTGTGTGGCCCTGCGCGCGGGCGGCGGCAGGACAAGGCCGGGGGTCACGCCCCTCCCCTCTCAGCCTCTGTTTCCGCGATGGCCGCTAGCAGCAGCTCGGGCGGGGCGGTGGTGAAGAGCGTAACCGGGTAGGCGCAGCGCTGCCACTCTGGGTGCAGCACGATGCCGCAGCAGCCGATAGGGACCGACGAGTACTTCAGCAGCGAGGTGAGCCCCTCGAGCTCGTTGTAGATGACCGAGGTTGGAGTGCCGTACTTGGCGCATCCCTCCAGCGGGCAGGACGCATCGGTCCAGTGCGGCGCGAGCCGCGCGCGCAGCGAACTCGACCACGTCGTGAAGTTTGCGAGCAGCTCGCGCCGCTCGCCGTTGACCTGCGCGGTGGGTACAGAGCGGGTGGGGCGAGCTGCGCCGGCGGAACAAACGCGGCGGCGTGGCGGCTCCTGGTCGGAGATCTCAGAGAGGTCCTGTGTGGCTGGCTGCCACGTCGGTATTGCGAGGAGCACTTCGTGTAGCCAGCCGTCCTTGGCGTCGCTGCTCGCGCCGGGCCGCTGCCGCTGGAACTCCGCCTGCCCGCGGAGGGGTCTCAGAGGCATTCGCGAAGCACCGGGCACAGCGCAGCGCGCACCTCAAGGTCCGGCCGGAAGACGAGCTCGATGTCCCGCCGCAGCAGGCGCGAGGGGCGGTGCACCGAGTACTCAAGCTTGCTTGCAGATAGCCTCGTGGGCTGCACGAGCGTCTCTGTCGGCTGGCTCGGCATGATCCGAGCGAGTGCTGTGGCGACGACGAGAGCTGTGCCTCGCGCTGGCGACAGCAAGAAGAAGAAAAACGTCACCCCGCGGTTTCTCTGCGCGCACAAGGGCGCATTTAAAAAATCCTTATATTCCACTCCCCGCCCTCTGCGCCGGCGCCCGCCGCCCCACCCCGACCCGACCCGACCCGACCCGACCCACCCCATATCCTCTCTCTCCCCTGCCCCTCCCCAAAGCCTCGCTCGGCTCCGCTTCCCCTTCTCCCGATCCCCATCCACCACCCCTGCCTGGCGCGTGCGCTCGCCGCCCGCGCCGCCGCCGCCCGCGCGCGCCTACAGCTATTTATCAGCCACCCCCCCCTTTTGCCTCGCTCGTCCCGACAAAACAGCTCGTGAGTGTTAGAGTTGTTTGGTATTGAAAAATCTCTCGTCCCGCCTCGCCCGCGACGGCTTTTGGCTTCTCCCGCCCTCCAACCCCTCTCTTGGCTTTTTTTCGAGGCCCTTCGCGCTCATCCCGTTAGGCTGCATACATATTTCCTCGCTCACCCCGTCTCGTTTCCTTTCCGTGTTTCTCTAGACTCTACAGCACCCTCTCGTTTCCTCGCTAGTTTCCCGAGGAAACTCCGTCCGTGGAAATCAGCTGGTTTGGGCCCAAAATCAGCCAAATCGGCAAAATACCGGGGTATTTTGCGGGTATGCATGTATCTGAGGACACGATTCAACTTTGGTGGGGGGAGCCGCTTTGTCCGTGGACGGCAAATCGTGGAGTTGCGAGTCACGCTCGGGCGGACAGGATCGATGCCGTCGCCGGACGCGGCGGCGAGGCACACGGGGGCCGGCGTGGCGCGTCGGCAGGCCCACCACGAACGGATGCGCGACGAGCGCGCTCGGGAGGCGGCCGCGGGCAACGCGGAGCTTCCGCCGGAGGACGACGCGGTCGAGATGGCGAGCGCCGCCCAGCTGCTGGACAGCGTGGCGGAGGCGGGCCCGAACTACACCCTGCTGCGCAGCAAGGAGACGACAGGCGAAGCGGCTACCTGGAAAACCCCGGGTATACCTGGAAAATACCCGGTATGTTGCCGGGTTTCTCGGTTTCGCCTCAGATTTTGCCCCAGACCAGCTCTCAGACTCACTCAGCTCTCAGGGAAACTCGAGAGTTGGTTGCCAGAATGGAGCTCCAAACTCTCTGGTTTTCCCTGGAAATTTCCGGAAACGAAAAGTGCTGGGGACCCTCTCGTTTTTTTGGTTCCAGAAACGTGTACGTTCTCTAACGTGTACGTACTTTTAGCTTACTGGGAGAAAAGGAGAGGGGGTTGTGTTCTCTAGGCCCCTATAAACTAAGGGCCCCCCTACCTACGCGCGGCGTGAGAGCTCGGAAGCGAGCTTTGCACGGCGATCTAGGATTGCGCGGTTCACCCCCTTCACCGAAGCGATGGAGATGCGTTCCGCGTGGTGTGAACACAAATGACGTGTATGCAGGCCAACGCTCATGCCGCCCGCCTAATTCACCGCTTTACCGAAAAGCCAAATTGCACGGCCCCAGAACGCGGAGGGGGAGGCGACCAGCTGCCCAGGCATGGGCAATGCGTGCAGCAAGAGCCCCGACGCATCCGCAGGGCAGCGTGATTTAGAGATCTCGCCAGCACGACCGCCGGACGCGCGAGACTTGGGTGATGTGGGTGTCGACGGGTTGGGTGATATGATAGTCGACGCCGCCGACAACGTGGGTGACCTGCTCACAGGCTTACACAACACCGCCGCAGGCCTAGCCAGCGGTCTGGTGGACGGCCTAGTGGATGATCAGGATAGCTTGGCTGGTATCGATGAGAATCTCGGCGTCAACGCGGGCCTGACCAGCTCGGGCGCACTAGCGCAGGACATCAGGGAGCGCCTTGCAATCTTTGGCATCGACGTGCCCGGCGCCGCGCCAACCTGGCTTCCACCGCATGGAGTTGGGTCGGCGATGAAGTCAATGGGCTATCGCGTCCGCAATCCAGTCGCGTGCATCAACTCAATGGTGGGCTCCGTGCTCGTGTGCAAAGAGTCGGAGAGCCGGCCCGAGTGGGTGGACCGGAACATCGTGCTCGACATGCTCATCCTCACGCGGACGGTCATTTCCAAGCTGCTCACCTTCAACACTGCCGACGACTGGATCGCGCAGCTTGAAGATCGATTCGACGAGGATGACGACGGCGATGTGGACATCTCGGAGCTGCAGGCCTTTATCGCGGAGGACGAGGGCCTCTCCAAAAATAAGAAGGTGCTCCGGTGTTTAAAAAGGGCGGAGAAGCTCGCGATGAATGGCGGCACGTGCAAGCAGATGCTCATGGCGCTCGAGCCGGTGAGGGAGCTGCTCAGAGCGGGAGGGCAGAACGGAAACGACGAGGACGGCGGTGCTCCCTGCCACGACAAGGCCGAGGAGTTCCTCACCGGCGAGGAGTCAATAACGCGCAACGTCTACGCCGCGCACATCTGCCTCGAGGAGGGATGGAAGGACCCCCGCGGCGTCCGTGTGCGGCCTCTCAATGACGAAACGACTTGCGACGCGCTCTCGTACCTGTCCAAGGTACCCATCGTCAAGGCGTTCGCCGCGTTGATGGGGCCGCTGATCGACGAGCTGGAGGACGCCGGCCTCGAGGTGGGCAAGTCCATCCGCGCCTTCCCTTACGACTGGCGGGTGGCCATCCCGAAGCTCGAGGAGCGGGACGGCTACTTCACGTCGCTGATGGATGGGATCGAGCAGCTGGTGGCAGCACAAGGCCACCCAGCGGTACTGCTCGCCCATTCCATGGGCTGCCGCGTCGCCCACTACTTCACACACTGGGTCGTGTCATCCCCGGCGGGCGTGGCGCGGGGCGGCCGCGAGTGGCTTGACAAGTACGTTAACTCGCTGGTGGCGGTCGCGGGCCCGTTCCTTGGGGCCACATCGGGCACGCATCAGTACATCATCCCTGGCACGGTGAACGGCTTGGTGCCAGCGGTGCTCTCGGTGTCGGGAGGACACACCGTCATGCGTTCGTGGGGCTCGATGTTCTTCCTCTTCCTCGCGTCCAAGGCGCTCCGCGGCACCCCAATCTCGCACCCGTGCTGGGTGCGGAGCCAGGGCGTCCTGCAGATTGAGCTGATCAGCCTCGACCTCATTGACACCGACGCCGACAGTGACACGGACTCCTATGTCGTCTTTACGCTCCGCAGCTATCGTGGAGGTCCGATCGTAAACCGTGCGGGAAACGACCTCAACCTCACTAGTGCAGCGGTGGGCGGTGCGCATCCCGTCTACAACGAGCTGTTTCAATTCTCGTGGGATGCCGAGCCCGACTCGCTCCCCGGCCTGGAGCTGACCGTCTGCATCAAGGACGAGCGCCTCTTCGGAACCGACCCCGCCATCGGCGAGTACAAGCTGTGCCTCTCCGATGGCGACGATGCCACTCCGGCGACGCGTGCGCTCTTCACTCGCAGCAGCTCGCCCGTAGCCCCGCCAATTCAGATGGTTGCTGGCGAGCGCATCGAGCTGCATCGCGTCCCGCTTGGAGAGTCGGGCGCCAAAGCGACCTTGAACCTGCGCTGGCTCCCGTCAGACTTCACACCCGCTGGGTACAAGGTGCCACACGAGGGCATCCCCGGCTGTGGGGGCGAGGCAGACACTGGCGAGTGCGAAGTGGCGACCAAGCGGTTGCAGGAGAGCTTGGGCGATAAGGGCGAGGTCTGCTGGCCTTTTCGGGACGGGGACGAGCGTTGCGATGGTCGCTCGGGGTCTTACCGGCCCGTCTCGATGGAGACGATGTTCGCGCTCGAAGAGATGTTTCGCGAGTTTGAGATGTGGCAGGGCCTCTATGCGGGTGATCCTGTCTTTTCAGCCAACTGCACGGCTGCGCCAGAGATCAAGCGCGTCCTCTCCATCCATGGCTGCGCCAAGCCAACAATGGCAGCTGTCGTCTACCGCCGGCGATCATGCAAGTTCAAGGAAGGCCAGCGAACCTGCCTCTTCGAGCCGGACGGCGATGCACAGGTCGCGCACGAGGGCTTTCGGATTAAGAATGGGGTCATCTACGAGATGCCGAACGCGCCGCAGGTGAACGTGGAGTCGAAAAAGTGGAGCGACGCGGACCAGCACCTTTGGACCTTCACCTCCGGCTCCGGCGACCGGACGGTCAACTACTCGTCCCTGAAGTGGCCGTTGTCCTGGCGGCAAGACGGACTGCGCGTCGATGAGATTGAGATCCCAGGTGCGGATCACCGCGGCATTGTGTCCATGCCGATGACCCACTTCTCGGTGCTGCAGCACGTGTGCCGGCCGCCACAGATCAAAATACTTGTGAGCCATGTGTACCTCGGCGAGATGCGATGCGGATCGTGCTACTACAGCTGCCGGTACAAACCGCCACCCGAGCTCGTCAACGACGAGCTTCGTGTCACCTACGAATGGGACCTCGCGCCCAACAACATGACGGAGACGGTCACAACCCGCCTCGCGCACACCGAGTGGGTTCCCGTGGCACAAGCTCATTGCAGCGCTGCGTGGGCCACGCACTCCCAAACCGCAGGCAGCATCTCAGAGGAGGCGGCCCACATGAACAACGGATGCCGATTTTCTCTTGAGTATCGCTCAGCCGGCGGCGACCCGGCACTGTACCCCGGCAGCACGACAGTCAAGCTCTGCCGTGACGACATCCACGGTGAAGACCGGGAGATTGTGGTCGACCTCGACACCGCTCGCATCAATGTCGCAATAGAACTTAAAGTCAAGCCAGTGGCCGGCGCGCAGTAGGTGGTGTGTCGACCGGGAGATCGTAGTCGTACAGTAGAGACAGTAACCCTGACAGAGATTTTGCCGAGCTCTGTGTGTGTACTCCCTCTTACGCGCCCCCTCTCTCTCTAATTGGGCTTTTTTCGTGTGGGGCCCGCGGTGCGCTCGCCGGTGGGGAGCTCCCCTTTACCCGTCTCCCTACCAGTGTGTAGTGAGGTCTCCGTTTCATTTTTTCTTCCGTCGCCCGCGCTGCCGCTTGAGAGAACAGTGTGTGCGCCGCGGGGGGGGCGTGTGGTGCGCGCACAGCCGCACACACTACTGGTAGTTATCTCACTCACTCCACGGCTGAGTCTGGCGAACCCAGCGAGTAAGAGGGGCGTCCCTTGTGTGTACACGTATATTGTAGAAGATGGCAGCGAGCACCTCGGTACTAATCTCGCAAAAGTCCAGTGGGTTTGAGCGAAATGTACGCTGCGGTCATTCTTTCAGAGAATGAGCGCCGCAGCAGCCGGACCTGATCCAGTCCCAGGTGGCGCAACGTAGGCTTGCGACGGTCGAAGAGTCCTCACTCGACGCTGGCGGCACGGGCGGCTCCGGCTCCATAAGCGCCGCATACAGGATGGCTGGCACCGGCTGCAGGCAAAGCCTGGCCTTGCTCTCCGAGGCTATCGCGCGGGAGAGGGGGGGGGGGGCGGGTCCAGATGTGAACCCATAGGTGGCGTGTGTTGCCAGGCGTAAGGGGGGGGGGGGTTCCAGATGTAAACCCTTAGGTGGCGTGTGTTGCGAGGCGTAGGGAATTTTGGGGCGGGGGGCGAGGGGAGTTGCGCGGGAGGAAGGGAGGGGAGGTGCACCTGCAAAAAATGCTCCGATGATCCGATCAAATGTACACTGGAGCGTAGGTGATAGACCGCTTTCGTCGCACTCCTCAGCAATAGGCTCCAGCATCTTTTGCGGACACGCCTGCGGCACGGGGCAGATGGGTCAGCTTAGGAGCTGTCCACGCGGCCACGGCATTTATGCGGAGCACAGACCTTGGACCCACGGCGCCTTGGCCGGCTCCTGCTCCCGTGCGCGCGAACTTCGCGCTTTGCGCGGTGTGCTCGCGACGGACGCCGGTCGTACGGGAGATCAGCCCATCGTGCTGCTGGCAGGGCCAGCACTATGATCGGGTCGGAGAGCTGCCGCAGTTCCGTTTCGGAGCACTTTTCCTTGAGTGCGACAGCCGTGTGCACGCACTTTCCGTGGACCACGCACGCGTGTCCGTCCACGCAAATGCCAGGCTCAGCGATGGGAACCCCGATCGCGCTCACAGCGGGATCGCAAGCGACCATTACACACACGCGCACACACGCCTGACGGTGGACTGACGCCCGATCCTAAAGTTCGTGTAGAACCGTCCGAGTTTGGAAGCAAGATGCGGCTCGACAACTTTTACGGCAAAGCAGTTCGAAGATTCAATCCGAGATCCCGGCCCTCCTCCGTTACTCAGTGTTGAGCACTTGAGCACTTGAGCACTTGAGCACGTTCCGCATGGTACGGGACCCCTCGATCGTCTCGCCCACCCTCACTGGTGTGTTCATGGGGGGGGGGCTTGAGCACTTGATAGGGTCGACTCCGCATGGTACGGGACCCCTCGATCGTCGCGCCCTCCCTCACTGGTGTGTTCATTGGGGGGGGTCATAACAAAACACGGTACAGGATCGAGGTGTGCAAAGAGATAGACTAGAGGGATATTTGGCACAATTGCTTTGTTTGGGCCTTGCGGTTGGTAGTAAGTACAAGAGCGGGCTGCGCTGCCTGCACAAAGGTGGGTGGGAGGGGCTTCTCCTGCGGAGTCGTGTGCGTGCGCGCGCAGGGGGCGGTCTAGGAGCACTTGGAGTGCAGTTTTATCAACCGCACACCCAGGGCCTCTTTGCTTTCTCTTCTGAAACTTCTCTACTCCCTACATACTAATTAGTACTATCATCCCGTTCCACCGACTCCTACCTCTCAGAGAAGACGAGAGGCCACCGGCCAAAACGGAAAACGCAAAAAAATAAATCGATGAACGATGTCTCGAAGGTCCGAGATACTGGAAGCCATTATAAGCAGGCACCTCACACCTCTCGGTCAGGCCCCAGGGCCACTGGCTCTCTACACACTCATCGCTGTGGACAGAGTCAGAAAGCTCGAGCGGAGTGCCCCCCCTCTCGTGCCTCCTCTCTCCGTATTGTCCCGCCCCCCCCCCCCCCCCCTCGCTAGACCACCTCCTCCTCGTGCACCGTCCCCGTCACCTCTGCGCTCGCAGTTATCATCGGTGCGTCGGCCTCCTCTCCCGCGCCACCTCCCACCTCTTCTAGCGGTGACACCGGTGCAAGCCCAGCGGCAGCGCGAATGCGGACGCCCCGCTCCGCACCCGTCTGCGGTGCGGCAGCGACGACCGTCTGCGGCGGGGGAAGCGCCGCGAGGAACTCACGGAGCTGAGGCGGCACGCTCGGAAAGGTGTCGTCGCCGCTGTCAGGCACGCGCCGGTAAAGGCACATGTAGGCAGACGCGCCGAAACCGCCGCGGTGGGCGATCGCATCGTCAGTGGTTGCAGCCGCCAAGTCGGCCTCATCGAGCGGCGTGACCGTCGAGTCGTCGAACCGCAGCCACGAGCGCCGCTCGAGGTTTCGCACATAGGCGAAGTAGTGCCCGGCCTGCGCCGAACCGCGGTGCATCAGGATCGCGAGCAGCTCGTACACGCCGTCGCCGCCGTCGCCGCCGCCGTCGCCGTCGTCGCCATTACCGCCATCGCCATTGCCGCCACCGCCACCGCTGCCGTTGTCGCCATCGCCTCCCGCGTCGCCGTCGCCGCCCGCCACCTCCGCCTCCGCCCCCGCCTCCGCCCCCGCCTCTGGGCTCGCGGCGCCAGACGGCGCGCCGCTCGAGTTCTCGGAGAGCTTCCGCTTGCGTGGCGGCGCGGTGGCGTCGAGGTAGCGTGCTGGCCGGAGGGCGTGGGGGAGGCGGACCAAATGGTCGATCTTGACGCGGCGGAGGGTGGCGAGGTCGAAGTCGAACCGCTTGAGCGACACGGTGAGGATGGGCGGCAGCCTGCAGAGCCGGCAGCCCTTGAGCGCGTCCCGCTTGCCGCCGCAATGGTCGCAGTGGTATGCGTTGTCTCCGCTCAGCTCCTCGGGCTCGAGCAAGTGGTCGAGGCAGCCGCCTGCAGACGTGCCGCGGGCATGTCATGGACGCGTGTCCTCGCGGCGCGAGCAGCGCACGTCGAGGCAGCCGCCGAGCGAGTCGAGCTTCACCTAATTAATAATTAATAATTACCTAATTAATAATAATTAGTTAATTAGCCGCCGAGCGAGTCGAGCTTCACCGGCGGCGACTGGAAGGTGCGCACCGGCAAGGAGAGCTCGTGAAAGGCGGAGGCGCGCGCGGACTCGCGCAGGCAGGCGCGGCACTGCACGAACTCCTCCCACTCGCCGCCGTAGAGCTCGGCGAGGGCGCCCTCCTGCGCCGTGCCGACGAGCTCCGCCTCGAGCGCGTCGAAGAGCACGCGCAGCAGCTCCTGCACGTCGTGTTGCGTGAAGGAATCCGCGGCGCCCCACCCAAACGACTGCGTCAGCTCCCGCGTGTCTATCGCTCGCACCGAGCCGCAGCCGCCCGCGCGCAACTTACCTTCGCCTGCCGCGCCCGCGTCGGCCGCGCCCGCAGCAGCTTCCGCCTCGGCCAGGGACGCATTCGTCGCCTGCCCGTCTTGCATCGCCACAAAGAGCCTCTGCAGCTGCGCGGTGATGCTGCTCGAGCCCGCTGCGCTACTGTCCTCGCCTCTCTCGCCCTCGCCCGCTGCAGCTGGCTCCCCGCGCGGGCGCCACTGGTAGACGATCCGGCGGAACTCGGGTGTCATGTACAGAGACTGCAGCAGCGAGGAGAGGTAGCACGTGGCGCCTTGGTTGACCAGGCCGACAAAGCCCTCGGCATTCGGAGGCGCGGTGCAGCCTGCGCCCGAGCCGAGAGCCGCCAGTCCCTGCGACAGGCCTGCGATGGGAGAGCTCTGGGAGGAGTTCCACAGCGCAACTGTGCCCAGCGCCTGGGCGGCTGCGCTTGAGCGCGAGTCTGACTGCGGCACAGGCGTGCATCCATCCACTCCTCGGAGCAGCAATCGCTGCTTGTGCCTGAAGCTCGCCTGCAGCAGCGTGGTGGTGTAGGCGCCGGTGTCGTCAAGGCGATGCGCAACCTCGGTGCCATCATCGCGGGCCGATTCGCAAAGCTCAAACGTTCCCGGAACAAGATCAGCCTCCGTCGCCACCGCCTCGTGCAGCGCCAGGAGCGTCGCATCCTGCGGCAGCGTGACGCTTAGCCGCTGGCCGGGCTTGGTGACGATGAAGGTTAGCATGGGTGTCTCGTCGGTCGGCGCCGCCGCCAGCATGGGATGACCTGGAGCGACACGGAGCGACAGAGTAGAGGGGGGCGTTCCGCAGCTAGGAATTCTTAATAACCCACACTTAAAGGCCCACTCCCCGCCCTTTCTCAGAGCTGTGTTTGCGCTCGCTGTGCGCTCGCCCGTTGCTTGGTGTTGCTGGCTACTCTGGAGTCCTCCTGGCTGCTCTCCGCCCACCAGCCGGCCACAGGCCGTCAGTCTCACCGGCCGGCGTCGAGAGAACGGCCAGACTCGACCGACCGGGTGTCGCGCCGCTGCCTGCGTCTCGCGCCGCTGTAGCAGCGCCAGCGGCTCGGCCGCGCATCCTTCACACACGCCGCCACGACCAAGCTGAGCGGGCCCAGTGTCGAGGTCTGGTGCGAGCTGCATGTGAGGGGCGGCTTTGGCCACAGCAGGTCCACCAGACGGATCTCAAAGCTTGCCGTCGGCGTGCTGTCGTGGCGAGAGCCGAGACCGCTGCAGAGGAGCCGAGTGCAGTGACGATCCAGAGGCTACCAGGGCCACCAAGTGGTAGCCCTTGTCAATTATGAGCAGGGCTGTGCTTTGGTGGGGTTGTGCTTGAGCATGTGTGAAGTGGGAGTGCGTGCCGGCGGTGTCTGTGGGTGAAACG